CCGGTTTTTCCCGGACATGTCCGGCTTTTTGGCAATCAAACCCCCGTCCGGGGGAATTGCCAAAAAGCCGAACATGTCCGGGAAAATGCCGGCCGGGCATTTCCCCTCCCGCGGCTGCTCTGCTCCTCCCCTGACTCTTCGGCTCTGTTTAAGAGCCGAGTTGCCCGAGCGCTATGGGCTTTGGGCAGCCCCCATGCCTCCGGACCCTGTGCCGCCGGAGCCCGGGAGGGGAAGTGCCTGGCCGGGGGCGCAGGGTCCGGAGGCATAGGAGCTGCCCGAAGCCCGAGTGCTACCAGCTTCACGGTTTGGGGAAGCGCCGGCCGGGGGCGCAGGGTCTGGGGGCTGCCCGGCAAACCGTGAAGCCGGTAGCGCTCGGGCAGCCCTTTTCGCGTGGCTGGGAGTGGGAGGGAGGAGGGGGCGGAGTTGGGGCGGGGCTGGGGTGGGAAATGGGCAGGGCCAGGGCCCCGTGGAGGGTCCTCTTTTTTTTATTTGTTCAATATGGTAACCCTAGGTTCATGCACCTGGTTCATGCACCTATTGTAACATGCTACTGTAGAAATCTTTGCTGGAGTTCAACTTATGTATGTTGGGCACAGGGAGACCGATTTGGTGGTGCGCTGGATGCCGCAGCTAAGATGTTCAGTAAGGCCTTTGACAGTGGTATTATCCCTATGGAGTTCGTCAACAAGATGAAGAAAGAAGGGAAACTGATCATGGGCATTGGACACAGGGTCAAATCAGTAAGTAACTTACCTTGTTTTAGTAGGGCTTTCTTCAATGGAAGAGGAAAATGAATAGAAGAAAAAGCAAGTGGAGGAAGGATGGCAACTTTTAGAAGTGGTTTCTGGACTAATCCTTAAAATAAATCACTGACACATGTATGTTAAGTGGTCTTTGGATACTCGAGTGATATGTCAGCAGTAGAGAGAGCAGTTCAGCATTGTTTAAGCAGTTACTTCATGACAGCCCTTAACATTTTTCATCTCTTACAGTTCAGTATTTGGTCTTCTCCATTCACAGGCCTTACAAACTTAAAACTAAATTTCTAAATTGAGTACATTTAATTAAAAAAACAAAAACAAAAAACTAAGGACAAAATTTAATTACCTTGGCTTCAAACAAAGGGTTTATTTGAATTGATAGGTACAGTAAGATGTGCACTCTTACATGCGTGTCTGGCTGTTACTGCAAATAATATAATGTGTTCTTAAACGTGCAGATAAATAACCCAGATATGAGAGTTCAGATTCTCAAGGACTACGTGAAGCAGCATTTTCCTGCTACCCCACTCCTGGACTATGCACTTGAAGTAGAAAAAATTACAACTTCCAAGGTAAAACACCCCCACTGCATTTTTGTTCTCTATTACCTTGAAGAAAAAATCTTTTGGGGTCATTGCTGGAGTTTTGTTTCTGTGTTTTAACTGGCGAGGGAGTAATGCATTGGTGCTAATGAAAACCAGAGACACACAGCACCAGCTCGGAGACCGGCACAGCTACAGGATATGCTGTGGCTAAAGTGAGCCTTATCCACCAGGAGAGGCCAAACTGCCAGCCAACGATAGCCCCCAGCATTCTACAGAGTAGCCTGTGACTGCGCTCCTCATTTAATAAGAAGGTGTAGTCTGCAGAGATGCTGGGTCCCGGCAGAAGTCCACCTTGAACTGGGTAGAGCCGCACGCAGATGCTGAGGGGGGAGTCTCCATCATTCAGATTGCCTGGCTCTCCGGCAGATTGCCAGACTAGACCTCTGCGTTACAAAGTTTGGGTGTCCCTTATTGCATGCAGCCTCTAAAGCAGGGGTTCTCAAACTGGGGGGTCAGGACCCCTCAGGGGGTCACAAGGTTATTGCATGAGGGGGGGTCGCAAGCTGTCAGCCTCCACCCCAAATCCTGCTTTGCCTCCAGCATTTATAATGGTGTTAAATATATAAAAAAGTATTTTTAATTGATAAGGGGGGGTCGCACTCAGAGGCTTGCGATGTGAAAGGCGTCACCAGTACAGAACTTTGAGAACCACTGCTCTAAAGCATCCTAAGGTCCTTTGTGATGAAAGTTGCCGGATGAGTGCGAGTTACTAGCAGTTAACACTTTTCACTTTCTTCAGAAACCAAATCTTATCCTGAATGTGGATGGCTTTATTGGAGTCGCCTTTGTTGATGTGCTCAGGAACTGCGGCTCCTTCACCCGGTAAACACTGACATATCTTCTCTAGCTGCTGTATGAAGTTGGGGGGAGAGGGTACAATCCTGATGCCATTAATGTGATGCGAGTTTCCCCACTGCCATCCAATGGGGCCAGGAGTTCATCTGATGTTTGCAAGGCACGGCACCCTGCAGAAGCCTGGCCTCTCTGCGAGGGGAAGATTTCCAGGAGAACTGGGCCTTGAATTTGCATTGGGGGTGGTTTAGAGCTGCTCTGGGAGCCATTGTACCAAGCACCCTGTTCCCAAGGATTGTTTGGCTTTTATTGCAGGGAAGAAGCAGATGAATATATTGACATCGGAGCCCTCAATGGCATCTTCGTGCTTGGCAGAAGTATGGGGTTCATTGGTAAGTTTCACGTGCACCCAAAAGCCCTATTATTGTGATGTTCCCCATCATCACCACCAAAAGACAGCTCATACAAACCCCTTCATTCTTCACACCAGTCCTGACTGCATGTGGTGCATCAGCCACACTCCCAGCCCAGGAGAATCTGCTGGGATGCTCTCAGTGCTGAGTTATTAAAGCTACTGGATGGGTAACTTTTGAACAATAGTTAGGATTCTCACCCACGGCCCTGGAGCTTGTAGTCATGCCTTAAAATAGGAGTAACTGGATCTCATGCTTCAGGATATAATGATCATTTGTGGGGCCAGGAAGGGACCTAACAAGTTTCAAGGCAAGGTCAGTCTGGGAGGAATGGAAACTTGGATTGCTGCATGTAAAAATCACTTTCATTTTAGGACACTACCTGGATCAGAAGAGGCTGAAACAAGGTCTGTACCGTCACCCGTGGGATGACATCTCCTATGTTCTACCAGAGCATATGACCATGTGATAGCCAGTAACATTGCTTCAAAACAGAGAAGCAAGTCGCCTGCATGGAAGACGGTTACACATGGGACTTAAATGTAAAGGCCATAGGTTTATAGAAATCAAGAACTACTGTGCAAAGCAGCTGTTCTAGAAGCATAGAAACTGATGCAAATAAAACCAAAAGTGTGAGATTCCATATGCTACCTGCTGTATTTCATGCTTGGAAGCAGTTGAACTTTGTCTCTTCTCCCCAGCCTCTTTTAATTTTTCTACTTGTTTTATTTTGTGTGTGTTCTGACAGGATTTTAAGATGGGGGGGGGGGTTGTTTTTTGCTCATGGACACAGCTGCTTTTGACTTGAAGAACTAGACATGTTAGCTTGAAAATAAGTTGTAACCTTCCTGACAAAAGGAGGAAGCAAAACCTGAAGAATATTGTTACCCATCAGCTATGGGTTGGGGTTCTCTCGTAGGTTGTTTTTCAGCTTTGTTTGCTCTGTGTTTACCTCTACCGCCCAATAATATCCTATGTAGTGGGACCACCGCTGATATAGTCAATGCCATTCAAACTCTGGTGTAGTAATTTAAAATGTAAAGTTGTAACATATACTCTTGGTAAAACTGTGAAACTACCTGTATTGCATTTTCTATATTTACACGGCCACCACATTACTTACAGGAATCGCTGGCCCCCTACATTATCTGCATATGCAAGATGCATATTCAGTGGGCCATTAATTATAGTTGCTATAATAATCCTACTTGTCTCTATATTATTGTAACCTAACTTAAATAAACAATACATTAATCATTTTTAGCTGGATTTTGTATTTTTTCAGTGCTGGCACCTTGAGATTTGTACTGAATCTTACTTTACATAAGGAAATAGCATACTTTAAAACACTGGGTAACCTGCATTCTGCAGATCTATAATGTCTACTCTCTTTCTTTGGGTTCTCCTTCTGAAGATCAGGCCCTCAGTGTCTCCAATTGGGCACCCCAAATCAGTAGCCACTTCTGAAAGTTTAGGCCTTAATGTGTAGCAAATGGTCAAAATCATAGCAGTTTTTTTGTCATGTTTATGAGATAAACTACTGTGGCGATGGGGACAATATATAAGTACCTGGATAAACTTGGCAGAAATGGGCAAGGTCTTACAGCATGAGTTAAGATGCAAGGGGAAAAAGGTCAACATACCTTTCTGCAGTTTGCTTAATTAAGGGACTTAATATGTATAAATGCTCCAGTAACACTGCATGAAAGTTGGGGTGTTATATCATATTGCATTAATAATCCCAATGTCTAAAGTAATTTAGAGTAAGACGAGCTGTAGTTGATTGAATCATGGTGACAAAAGTAAATTCTCAACTCACCTGCGCTATAAATAAAGTACATCCTGAAGACAGGAAAATTAGTAATGCCTCGTGCCTCCTAGTAAAGACCCTATGCTGCAAAATTCCCCAACGAAGAGAGAGAGAGATTGAAATGAGGAGAATATGGTTCAAAACTTCCCTCGGGCTTGATAGGCTGCATGAGATTATGGGTAAAGGTATACTTGAGCTTTGACCGGTGGGTACCATAGGTAGGTAGCATTTGGCACAGATACACCAAGTGCTGTCTACACAACTGGATTCCCCAGCAATGGGATACACACTGTAAGCTAGGTCTCTCTATTTGGGAACCTCTATCAAATCACACTTCGGCTGGATGTATCTTTTGTGATATTACTTCAGAGGTGACCCAATGGATTCTAATAAACCAAGCCCTGGGCCACTTGCCTGCAGCCTGCGTATTGCAGGTGGGAGAGGCTCCAGGTGCAAGAGAAGTGATGTCTCTGGACTGACGAGGCTCTCCTATCCCAGCCAGCCCTAGGATCTCTGCTGCCCTTAGCCCAGAGCCTCAGCCCCCACCTGCCTGCCCCTTGCCCTCGCTGCCCAGCCCCACATGCAGCCAGAGCCCAGTGCGCTGAAGGCGCAGTCCTACCTGCCTCTGTCGCTTGTGTCTCCAGCAGGGAGGATGCCGGCGAGCAGAGCAGGGCCCCAGGGTGACTTTCCTCAGGCACGCCAGCACCCCGGGCCTGGGCCGGCGGAGGCCCACGGGCCTGCTGCCAAGGGGGAGGGCTGGAGCCCACCCCCCATCGTGGGGTATGAGGGTTGGGCGGGATGCTCAGTGGGAGGGACCTGCTGGCTCAGAAATGGGGGAGAGGGGCCCCTGCCGTGACAGGAGCCACTGAGGGCGTGCGGCGCCTGGCCGCCCTCCACCAAGGCGACCTGGGGGGATGCTGTCCGCTCCTTCTTGGCCTCCCGCCCAGCTACCTGAATCTGCTCCTTCCTCGTGCCAGTGAGGCAAAGCCCCACACCTCCAACCTCATTAGCGCCCTTTTACACAGAGGGAAACTGAGGCAAGAGGACATGCGCGCGCATCTCCCCGTCCCCAGCGGGATTCGAACCGGCGAAACCCCCCCCCTCCCCCACCTCGCTCCCTGGTTCTAGAACTCCCTGAGGAGAAAGCGGCGAGGGGGCGGAGCCGAGCCCGCCCCTTTCCCGCGTAGAGCTGCTCCCCCGTCAGCGTGAGGCGGCGCGCGCGCCACCGCCGCTTCTCGGGGTGCGCGCGCGCCACCGCCGCTTCTCGGGGTGCGCGCGCGTTGAGTGACGTCCCACTCCCCCCCTT